TTTAAAGGTATACTCAAGCTAGCACATCATTTTAACTAACCAACAAAGACCTCCTATGAGAAAATACATGGAAAGAAAGTATGCTTTGAGACATGAAAGTTCCAAGGTTACTTGAGAAAGACATTGTTCTTTACAATCATACATTCATTGAATGGTATCTGGGCTGCTACACTGTATCAGACACTGTCCTGAGATCTAGGGAACTATAGAAAGCAAGGTGGACAGAATGCCTCTCAAGAGAGTCTATTTGCTTGTGGAGAAGTGATTGGTGCATATGACTTGTGATTACTGTTACTGGATACCAGAGGCACAGGAACATGTGTGGGGATCGAATCATGGGCCTTGGCCATGACCTCATGTTTCTTCCCTACTCTGGATTAGTTATCTAACAAATTTATTAGGTGTAGGAGTCTGAACATTTTTATGATGATTACTTTTCTAATAGGAATATTGATTTAAAAATACCATCCACAATGAATATAGCTGTCAATGATATCAGCCTTAAATGTGGGCATTGACTTGGATTTTAATTTGAGAAGGTATTAATTCAGTAAAAGAAGTAGCATGCTTCTTCCAATCTATCTCTTATTAATAACTAATAAACTTGAGTCCAGTGATGACTATTCTTGGCTGTCAACTTTGACTACATCTGGAGTTAACTAAAACCCCAAAATGAAGTGGCACACTTGTGAGGGATTTCTGCTCAATTTGAGGTGGGAAGAATCACTTTTAATTCAGATTTTGGATCTTTGAAGTGGGAAAAATACAACTTTAATCCAGATCTTTTGAGTTGGGAAGACTCATCTCCAATCTGGGTCACGCCTTCTGCTAGAAGCCTAAAGGACATGGAAGAAGGAGGCTTCTGCTCTTTGCCAACTTGCTCTTGCCTTGATAGCAAGTCATTCTTTTACTGCTTTAGAGTCTACTTCTTTGGGATTCCAGGGTATACTGAAGACTATCTGAGGCACCCAGCCTTATGAACTGGACAACTACTGGATTCTTGGACCTTCCATTCATAGGCAGCCATTGTTAGATTAGCTGGACCACAGCCTGTAAGTCATTCTAATAAATGTATTCATTTTGTAAGTTCTGTTACTTTAGAGAACCCTAATACAATTTTTTTTGCATATGATTATTGCTTATTCATTTGTGAACTGATTTGTTAGTAGTTTGCTCAGTTATCAGCTGAAGTGTTTGTGAGATTCTTGTCAACTTTGGTGAATTCTCTAGATAACAGTATTAATCTTTTTTAGTGTGTGTCTTATAAATGTATCTTTTAATATGTTGCTTGTTTTTAGTTTTGATATTGTATTACCTATGAGCTTTTTCCCCTTATAAAGTTTTATGGAAGTGAAGAACTTTTAAAGCTTTTTCCTATGGTTAGAGAAGCCAAGTTTTCATTGTTTTGATAAATATTTAATCCCATTTTCTGCTGGACTTTGTAGTTTTAGATGTTTAGTTTAGATGTTTGTGTTTAACATCCAAATATAATAGAATTCATTATAATGCATAGTGTATAAGAAGACCCTAAGTTCTCTCTTTTCTCTCCAAATTGCCAGTCAATTACCCTTCCACTATATATTGGAAAAAATTATCTCTTTCTATACAGATATCTTCCTCATATACTAAAATTCTTGTGAACGATTATGTTTCTGAGCTTCCTGTTATATTGCTGAAATCTGTCTATTCTGACACTAGGACTTCAATATTGTATTTTTATTGTTTTATAGATTTTACTGTTGGTGGATTTTATTAACCCGTCTCACTAGGAGGCTTCACTCATTTCCCGTTATGGTCTGAACATGAAATGTCCCCACAGGCTAACATGTTGGACACTCTGTCCTCACCCAGGACTGCTATTTAGAGATGCTCTGAAAACTCTTTAAAAATTAACTTTTAAACCAAGCATAGTGGTGCATACCTTTAATTCCTGCACTTGGGAGGCAGTACAGATGGATCTCCGTGAGTTCAAGGCTAGCCTTATCTATGTAATGAGGCCCAGGCTTGCCAGGGCTACATAGTGAGATCCTGACTCAAAAAGACAACACATAACACTAAAACATTTTTTTTTTCAGTAAGAATTTTAAACAAGCATAAGATACATTCTGGTTAATGTATACACCCCAAATCTTCCTCCCACCCCTAGTATCCCCGAGACAAGGCTGTTTCTGGAATCTTTTGGAGGACAAGTTGGAGGCAGCTGGTTCCTGTTGGCATGAACTTAGAATGTTCTGGCCTCAGTTTTCCCCTTGCTCTCTGCTTCTTTTTCTTGCCAGCACCTGAAGCATTTGCTATGCATTCCCACCGACTGTGGTGTCCTGCCCATGTGTGCAAGGCCAACTAACCAGGGACTGAGTCCTTTGAAATCCTGAGCAAAATAACTGCTTTCCGCTTAAATCCTTCTCAGGTATTTTGGTCAGAACTACACAAAAGTAAAGTGTTTTTTTCTTCCTGTCTGCCTGAAAATTTTTCTTCCCCTTCTTCCTTTCATCATACACTCAGAAATTTTGGGGTAGTTTCTGCCAATATTCTCCTGTCAATAATATAAGCTGTAGGAAACAGATTTTGACATGATAGTTCAGTTTCCAGTTTAAGAACGTACGCACCCGGCATGACATTGAGAAGATACAAAGACACACGACGGAAGTCCAGCTCTTCTCCCTGGGATTTTTATCTGTTTCATTTCTCTGTTGTGGATTATTCCCAACTTATTTTGTGCATTTTCACATATCGCTTCCCTTGTTCTCATACAGTTCTTTCCTGGTCTGGAAACTGTTTTTCTCAGTTATTAATATTTGATATACCTCCCTTTTCAAAGCATACTGAATTGCTTTATTCATTTTAATGGCTGCATATAATTTCAGATGAATGTAGCAGTTTATTAGGTGGTGTCTTGCTGATGAACAACTGAGAAGTTTTAGTAGATTTGCTTTAGACAGAATTTGATAACTATATTTCTGTGCCTACATTTTGTACATGTTCCAGTTTGGTTTCTGCTGCTGTGATAAAACCCAGACCAAAAGCAACTTGGGGAGGAAAAGAGGTTTGTTTTTAGGTTGTAGGCTGTAGTCCATGACTGAGGAACCCAGAGGTAGGATCTGAAGCAGAGATCACAGAGGAACACAGTTTAACGGCTTACTTCCCTTTCATTTCCTTAGCCTTGTTTCTTATATGGCTTAGGCCCACCTGCCCATGGATGGCACTGCTCACAGTGGGCTGGGCTGTCCTACATCAGCATTTGGGAAAAGCCTCCACAGATACACTCACAGGCCAATCTGACTGAGGCAGCTCCGAGATTCCCTTCTTCTAGGTATGTCAATAAAATTAAAAAAAAAAAAACTAACTATAACAGCATATTTCCATCAGCAACAAGTGAATGCACTTTTCTCCCTTGGTGATATTGGGTAGTACCAAGTTTTTTGTTTTGTTTTTAATGGGTTGAACTGAGGGTCTCACAGGCATACTGAGCACATGCTGGACCAATGGGATGCATCCTTATCTCTTATCAAGTTTTTCTTTTTGATGTGAGTCTAGATATGTCCTCTAGATTTTCTTTGAACTCAAGGTCCCCTTGACTCAAGATCCTCAGTGTTGACATGACATGACATGACATGACATGACATGACATGACAGATGTATGCTAGCACTCTCAGCTTTCTGATCACATTTTTGTTCTTTGTTAATCTAAAGGGGAAAAAACCGGAATCTCACTAGAGTTTTAAAATGTGTTTACTTCAGAAGTTCAGTTGAGTTTTTAAAATATATTAAATAGAATTTAATTGATTAATTAAATTAATCAATCAAATAAATTTGTGTTGTATTTTGAAGCTAAAGTGTCTAGTATAGTATATTCTGGCCTTTGCAATCCAATTTTATTTTATTTTTTATTTATATGTGTATGTGTATACATGTGTGTGTTTGTACATGTGTGCGTGTATAATCTCATGTACCCACAGAAGCCAGAGAGAATGTTGGATCCTCTGGAGCTAGAATTATAAGTTGTGAGCCATCTGACATGGGTACTGGGAACTGAACAATGGTCTTCCAGAAGAGCAGCAAGTGCTCTTAACCATTGAGCCATCTCTTCCTGCACCTCATTTTTTTTTTCTTTAAAATGTTTTCAAGGATCTATTTTTATTTAAGTGAGTATGTGGTCGGGGTGTGTGTGGCCCAGTACATTTAATTAGGGTTGCTTCTATGAGCATGGCAGGGCTAATTATTTGAGCAAGAATGGCTTATTTACTTGAGCAAGGGTTATATTCCTGAAGACTACAACTCCTTGCCCATAGCTCCTGAGGAAGGAATGAGGCTCTTGAGCGTCCCTTCTATCCATAATGGGATGTTTGTGGGTTCTGTCTTGTCCAGTAGCCATAGTTTCTGAGTACAACAGGCATTTCCTATCCAAAGTACAGTATCACAGCATCCCTTGCTTCCAGCTTTTCACATTTTTTTCTTCTTCTGAGATATTCCATGAGCTCTGGTGGGGGTGACATAAATGTTCTGTTTAGGGTTGAACACTCAATGAGCACTTCTTTTTTTGTTGTTGTTTGTTTGTTTTTTTTTGTTTTTTTTTTTTGAGACAGGGTTTCTCTGTGTAGCCCTGGCTGTCCTGGAACTCACTCTGTAGACCAGGCTGGCCTCGAACTCAGAAATCCTCCTGCCTCTGCCTCCCAAGTGCTGGGATTAAAGGCGTGCACCACCACTGCCTGGCTCAGTGAGTACTTATTCTCAGCACTTTGGCCAGCTGCGAACCTCTGCATTAACTGTTGTCCATTGTAATCAGAAGCTCCTCTGACCAAGGCTGAAGGCAGCACTAATCTATAAGCATAAACAAATATTTAGAAGGCACTTTTATAACATTATTTTTTAAGCAAAAGAAGAGGTGTAAGTTTCCCCTCTACTGTGACTTCCCTAGTCATGGACTTTTGACGAGGTTCATATAGTACCAGTTATGAATTCTTCCTGTGAGGTGGGTTTAAAATGCTATTTTTTTTTGATTCTTTAGTGGGAGTACATTTATTTTGTCTTTTCAAAGTTCTTTTAAGTTTCCTGTCTAAACCTTACTAGGCCTTGTGTTCAATCCCAACAATGCAAAACAAACAAAAATGTTTCAGTGTTTCTTGAGACAGAACCTCTCTCTATAGCTCTGGCTGGCCTGATAACTCTTTAAGTAGTGCAGGCTGTCCTCAAACTCATGGTAGTCTTTCTGTTTTGGTATCTTGAGTGCTGAGAATAAAGGTCTAGGGGATCAGATGTCTTCTTGTGCTTCCACGGGCACCTTTTTCTGCCATTTCATGTTGGCGGACTGTATCCTGTGCTGCTTGCTGCATTTTCTCCAGTTTTTCCAGAGTCAGAGATTTTAAGGGTAAAAGCTTGGGTTTACACAGCACCATCGTGGTTACATCTTCCACAGACAACTGCCCTTGTTTTGGAAGGACTTCTCGGAACATCGACTTCACTTCCGCCATCTGTAAACAGCTGGATCCAGTGCTTTTGCTCCTGAAAATTGTTATCTTTTTCTTGCAGCTTTAGGAATCCGATCTGTAGTTATCAGAACGATTGACTTCTTGACTCAAAATACCTACAGAAGGAAAGGTGCATCCCTTTCCAGACGGCTCTGCTGTTGCCTGGGGTAACGGGGTACAGAATGCAGGAAAAGTCTACGTCAAACCGCTATTTTTTTTAAAATAAAAAAGTAGTTGGTTACTCCCATAACAGGCATGGCACCAGTCAGCCCGTATTGCCTGTCAGGCTGATATAGTAGCTCACATAATTCATAACTTGACTAAAACCATTGGCAACTACTACTCCCTTCCCCCATGATGCCTGCATAGTACCTTCTAGAACTATGAAATCTACCCAGTAGGAAAGAAGATTCCAGATTGATTTTGCTATGTCCTGAAACCAAAGTGTATGCTGTCTTCGGCAATAGTGTCATATCATCTAGTTCTGGAAGACAACAAGAGAAATAGCAGCGCCCTGTATTGTTTTAGGGGGCCTATGGCTCCTCAATGAGCAATAATCTATAAGGAAGGAAGTATCCCCCATTTGGTCCTCTGATTTTTGCTTAATAAAGTCTAGGGCTTCTGAGAGTAGCATAATCCCTAGTGTAGGATGTATTCCTTTAAATTTATTTATTTATTTATTTATTTATTTAAAGCAGAGTCTTTTTATGTAGTCCTAGCTACCCTGGAGTTTGATATTTAAACCATGCTCACCTAAAACGTATGGAGACCCTCCTACTTATACCTCTTGAGTAGTAGGATAAAAGATATTTAGCACCACACCTGAGCAAACTTTTAAAAATTAATGTTTTAGTTAGACTGCAAAATAGTAGGTTTGTATATGGCTTTTTAATATACCCTTAGTTTCCAGTAAGCTTACCGCTGTCACTGCTCCAGAGGCTGTGGGACTTGGGAGAAGGGAGCCGATAAACGTGGAGGACTGAAGCCTTATGCAATAGCCAACTTTATTCAGATCCTCAGAGAATTTACCCTCTGGGGGTTAAGAAAGGTCACATGAATAAAGTTCTTATGAGTTCAAGCTCTATACAATCATAAGGACAAGTCACACATGGCCAAAAAAAAGTTTTTTCATATAAATATCTAAAAGTTTTATATATACAGAGACAGACAGACAGATATATATATATAGTGAACAGTAATGAGTACTCTGAAGTAAATTTATTTCTATCCACTACACCTGGGAGGAGAATAAAAACACATTTTAGGAACAATTCTGTGTTCTGAAGAAACCGAGATTACAGAATTCTTGTCTTGTTTTCTTGGAGTTCTCACGAACACTCAGCATTCTCTCCTCAGGCGACTCCATCCCTGGACCGTGTTCTGGCACCAGCAATCATCTCCCTCACCCCTCTACCTCCTACTCCTAGTTAAAAACCTACCCACCGTAGCATTCCTTTCTGTATACCAATCTCTGCTCTGTAGAATAGCCTTTTTTTTTCCCTCTCCACAGCTTCTGCATTAGTTCAGTTCTGACTGGGAACAAGATAAAATCCTGATTCAGCTGACTATTATAATACAGAAAATCTATTAGCTTATTGACAACATGTCTTGGATACAGTGGCTTTATTTAATTAATTCACCTGTTTATTAAGGTCATTGAGGTCCTTGGTTGTCAGGGGTTGGATTTTAATCGTCCTCCGGGGAGCTTGGTCCCTAGCCTGTGACACCATTGGAGATGAAACCTGGTGAAGAGAAGTTAAGCTATTGAGGTGTGCCCTTAAAGGACTCTAACCCCTCCTTCCCTCTCAAGTCCCAGCCACCATGAGGTAAGCAGCTTCCTTTCCCTCCTGCTGTGATATATTAGGCTGCCACAGACAGAGCTTTGTGGCCTTGGGTGGAAACCTCTGAAACCAAGAGGCAAAACCAATTCTTTCTTCTTTGAAGCTGGTCATTGTGGATATTTCATCATAGGGAGAGAAAGCTGATCAACACATTTGTCTTCCTATCATTTTGATTGGCATGGTCTTAGCTGGATTACCTCATGATCCCAAGATGGTCATTTCCCAGCCAAGTATTCCATGAACACAATAAAGCATCCAGTAGAGGGAAAGACAGCTTATTAACATGAATTTCTTTTCAGGACTGCTTTCCCAAAGACAGCAGTCTACTGCTCCCTGAAGATCTTCTCTCAGACCCCATTGGCTAGGCTGGGGTCTTTTTGCCAACCTCTAAGCCAGAAACTGGCAAGGATTCTGGAACTGCCATGATTGGTTCATGTCAGAGGGTTTGCCTTGTTCTAGTTTCATCTCTGTTGCTGTGATAAAATTCCCAGACAAATTGCAACTTAGAGAAGAGAGGGGCTTTATTCCAGGTGGCAGTCCATTATTGCAGGAAAGTCACAGTAACAATGGCTTGAGTCAGCTGGTCACATCAGATCCACAGTCGAGCAGAGAGAGATGGGCATGCATGCTCACTCACTCACCGACCTATGCTCAGTTACACTTTACTCTCACATCGTCCAGGGCCCAGCTCTTGAAATAGTGCCAACAGTGTTCAGCCTGGGTCTGTTCATCTTTAGTAACTGAAGATAATCCTCCAGAGGCAAGCCATAGGCCAACTCATGTAATTTAAAAGTCACAGGGAATTGTCCATTTCCATCCTAAAATAAGGGAGGCACTGCTGATCGGAAACATGGGATTCTTTACATGGTAGATAATTAGTTGTGACTGTCATAGCTTGGAACGTGTTGTTTCCTGTCTGAAACAGTCCTCCTGTGTTTACTCTTCTGATTGGCTGCTATTCTTGAGGTGGCTCCAGGGGAACCATCCTGCCTCCTCTAGGTTGAATAGACACCTTCCCTCCCTCCCTGGCAGGCAGCCTATACCTTTCTTGTCTGCATCAGATGACTGCTTTACATCTCCAGCTCCACCCCAGTTGCTTCAGGGCAGACACTAGGACTCATTTGTGTCTATATTTGTAGTCTGAGAACAGTACACCAGGCAGACATTTAACTCGTGTCTGTTGAATAAAATCTATGTGCTTTTGTTTAATTTCAGAATTTCAATTCTACATTCCAAATGCACATCACCTTATAGTTTTGTGTGTATGAATGATTACTTCGCCGAGGTTCGGGATTAGGTTGATTTTTATCCACACAAAAAACAAACTGGAGCGTTTCCAAGGCAAAGTCTTTAATGATGGGGATTATTGGTTTCTTAAAAGTTCAGAGCTTAACAAGCATTTCCTCTCACACATTGTGTGCCCGGCGTTGTATCAGTTAGCACTTTGTATGCACGTGATGAGAGAGCTTGTCTCCTAGTATGGAGGAAATGCTCAAGGCAGCATTTTTCAATCATAGGTAACGAAATCAATTTTGTGGCTCAAAACAAGGGGGGGAAAAAGGCAGTGAAGTAGAACAAAATATATCAGAGCATACCATTCTCGGTAAGGCTCCCCCAGTCCACACACATAGATGTGTGTGTTTGTATAGTGTACTGGATCAAAGTGTGTAAGGAGAATTAGAGCTGAGATCCACCTTGGCTACATAGCAAGTTTTGGGCTGGCTATGGCAATGGAGTAAAACCTCAATAAGATAATACTAATATCAAATCCCACCGTATGTCTGACATAGAATGATAAATGTCACAGTGTCATATAATTTCACTTGTATGTGGAATCTCAAGGTATTTATTTCATAAAAATCCAAAGATAATAGTGATTTCCAGGAGATGGGGCAAGAAGAGGCAAAAATTAGTCAATTGGCACTAAGTTTAATTCTACTGTATTTATTTATTGTACTGTAGAGTGACTATAGGTAATGGTAATATTCTGTGTATTAACAAAAAAAGAGTAAGATGAAAGGATTTTGGATGGTTTTGGCAAAAAGAATTTATAAGCCATGAGATCGATACACTTACCCTGATGTGAAAATGACACAATGTATCCATGAGCCAATACATTACATAGCACTCCATAAAACTGTGTTCTTTTTATATGACAATAAAAAGTCTGTCTCCTGGAACTGGAGGAAGGACATCAGGACATGGACACCCAAAGGAAGTTAAAAGAGACTCAAATTCCCAGGGCTGGCAGATACTTCACTTATCAATCAATCAGTCAGTCAATCAATCAATCCATCAATCAGAAACCGTCACAGCTCTCACACGTTTCCAGTGAACAGGTAATTTCTATTTGTACATAGACAGTATCGAGGGGAGAATATAGATGCTGGAGTGTGCTACAGAGTGGGGACAGTTGTTGACTGTTTTCTTTCAGGGAATTTTGCAGGCAAGAAGGGCAGGGGACGGTCTTCCCTTTGTCCTTCCAAGGGGGTGTAGTGGAGAACTCACCCAGCCAGGAGATCCTGCACTTTGAGAACTGATTAAGAAGTGTGATTAGCCACCCTAGTCAGAGTGGCTGTCCTATTCTGAGGGTCACACCTCACATTTCTGAAATTCTCTTCTTCATGACTGGTTCTAAGAAACGGTTACAGTGGAGAATGTGTACACAGACTGTTTCTGGCCACTGTTTCCAGCTGTTGATACTGCCAAATTACTGAGACTTTAAGAAAGGTTGTGCTCTATGCCCCACCCCACCCCACCACACACACACACACACACACACCCCTATCTACCTCTTGGATAAATTGAGGAAGCTGGAAAGCTGACCTGGGCCAGCCATTAGAGCAGTGGATATTGATACATATCATGGTGGCACCCTGACACCCAGAGTAGGAGCTGTCCTTAATGACACCAAGGGAATGCAGAGTACAAGGAAAAAAAAGAAAGGTCAAAGGTGAGTACAAGCAGCAGGGGAGCCTCCCAAGAACTCAGTGGTTCTTTGATTGGTTGTTTTTGTGTTGTTGTTTGTTTTATTTTTTGTTCTTTACATAATTGTTTCGTTGTTTACATAATTTGATCTAGGATCCTGTCTTTCCCCTTTTTCTCTAAAACACTTCAGTCCTTTGTGGACCCCAAAGGTTCTGGGTTCACCAGCAGCAGGAGGCAGAGTGACAGCTAAGACCTTAGGAGTCACTCCTGGTGCTAGAACAGAGGATGGAGGTACTCAGCTACCAGGGGGCGTGCTGCTTGGTGGTCCCCGCTTGCTCAGCTGGTAACTCCATTGACTACTATCTGTCTCTTATTTGTTCTTTCTTGAAGGGTCATCA